TCTTGGTACTGTGTTGTGCATAATAGGAACCTGGCAGAAAAATACTTCAGAAAAACTGTCATAGAGACCACATCTTACTCATGAGGGACTACAGCATGGTCGCAGGTGACAGGGGATGATTCTGGGCCAACTTCAGCCTGGCCAGAGGGACGCAAGGGCAGAGGAGGCATGGATGGCACAGGCCACCTGCATGACAGTGGCTCCAGAAGAACCCTTCTCCAATTGGGCTCCAGAACAAGGATGGGATTACAGGGCCCATCCGAGAATATGCCCACAGGGTGGCCTGGGGGGGCATATTTCCAAACATTAATGCCCTCTGACGTCTCCTCCCCTTGACCCTCATATTCTTAAACCAAACCATCAATTAGAGGAAAAAAGGGATTGGTTTACTATATTGAGCAATTTATGTCATAGTAACCACTCCCCTACACACAACATGTCACTGTTGTTTTCTTCTTTTATAATTGAGTTTTTATTGGTTGTTTTGAGGATCACTAAACAGACATTTCAGTTTGTACAGAATTCTTCACATACGTACCAGAAATTGAAAAAATCATGTAATTGTGATTCTTAACAGTTATTCCAGTGACTTTCCAGCTTAAAATTTGGAGCAAATTTTCCTTAACAGGATATCAAGTACCAATTATCTTCAAATATTGATATTCTGTTACATCATACATCCCACTGATTCACCATTTACTATCGTACACACTACATACTCAAACTGTCAATCATTCACAGCACATTAACCAAGTTACTAGGAAAACTGAACTACCACGACCAAAGATATAGAGTACGCAAAACTCTGACCAGGAGAGCCAAGATCAAGGAGTAGTTTGCTATAGGAAATAATTCTACCAAAACAATATGGAAAGAGGAGTAATTTAAAGTGTTCAAGACATTAAACGCACAACTGACTCCAAATTGCTATTTAGTATGCTTTTGTATTATAGGATATAAAAGTTACCCCATCTATGGAATGTTAAGCTGACACCCAAGACAATCAAAGCCTTCCATATCCAATATCCCACTATTTTCTGGTTGTACAAAAAAAAAAAAAGAGCAAATGATTTCACCTCTTTAAAAAAAGCATTTACACTTAAAAATGGGATGAGGTGGGATTTCCTCCTTTTTAAAAATGTCTCAGAGCTACTAAAAAACTTGCACTTACAAAATACTTGAAAAAAATATTCCCCTGGATTGTACAAGAAGGGAAACAGGGACCACTGACCGGACTGGGTGTGCGGTATTAATCAGACTTGGCTTCTTTTTCTTCTGCTTCATCAGAGGTTGGGTTCTCCTCGATTTTAGTCTCTCCATTTTCTGCAGGTAAGTCTTCTTTAGTCTCTTGGTTGGCCACTTCCACCTGTTTTCCCTTTGTTCCTCTTTTCCCTTTTGTTTGCATTTTTTTGTCTTAAGATTTATCCTTTCCCAGCGCCTTTTTTGGCTTCACTTTTGCAGGAGCCGGTTTAGCTGACAACCTTGCCCATCTCCTCTTGGGCTCCTCCTTCGCCGCCCTCTCTGTGGAGCTGACCTACCTCTTGGGCATCGCAGTGGTGGCTGGGCAGGCTAGAGCTGGGAGCCTGAGGGCCGCGGTGCACATAGAGCCTCCGCGAGGCTGAGTAGCCTGACCGCTGCCGCTCTTCCCGCTGCCCGAGCTGCGGCCAACATGCCACTCTTTATGCTATGGCTCTTATAAATCCCACTGGGAGAAGTTGTTTCTTTATTGATAAAATATCTTAGGAAAGTTTCCACCACAGCCCCATTCCCTTCAGTTTACCCTTAGTGAGCCCTAAGTGCCAAGCTTCCCAATAACTAGATCTCTTGTTTTGTCTCTTTCCTCCCACTCTGAATACTGGTTAGTGGTTTTTCCAGCTCTTAGATGCTAGTCCAGCTGATGGATCGCACCCAGACCCTTCTGTTAATGCTATGTCTGGTACAGGATGGAGAAATGTCTGTATCTTGACAGTGGATCCTCAGTGGTCCAACTGCCTCTACCCTCTACCTTCCAGGGATAGCGTCACCCTGAGTGTGGGGGAAGCTGAGCATACTAAAAGTTCCTTTCACTTGTAAAAGAATGAAACTAGAACACTTTCTAACACCATACATAAAAATAAACTCAAAATGGATTAAAGATCTAAACGTAAGACCAGAAACTTTAAAACTCCTAGAGGAAAACATAGGCAAAACACTGACATAAATCACAGCAGGATCCTCTATGACCCACCTTCCAGAGTAATGGAAATAAAAGCAAAAATAAACAAATGGGACCTAAATAAACTTAAAACCTTTTGCACAACAAAGGAAACTGTAAGCAAGGTGACAAGACAGCCCTCAGATTGGGAGAAAATAATAGCAAACGAAGCAACTGACAATTAATCTCAAAAATATACAAGCAGCTCCTGCAGCTCAATTCCAGAAAAATAAATGACCCAATCAAAAAATGGGCCAAAGAACTAAACAGACATTTCTCCAGAGAAGACATACAGATGGCTAACAAACACATGAGAAGATGCTCAACATCAGTCATTATCAGATAAATGCACATCAAAAACCACAATGAGGTACCATCTCATGCCAGTCAGAATGGCTGCTATCCAAAAGTCTACAAGCAATAAATGCTGGAGAGGGTGCGGAGAAAAAGGAACCCTCTTACACTGTTGGTGGGAATGCAGACTAGTACAGCCACTATGGAGAACAGGGTGGAGATTCCTTAAAAAAACTGGAAGTAGAACTGCCATACGACCCAGCAATCCCACTGCTGGGCATACACACTGAGGAAACCAGATCTGAAAGAGACATGTGTACCCCAATGTTCATCACAGCACTGTTTATAATAGCCAGGACATGGAGGCAACCTGGATGTCCATCAGCAGATGAATGGATAAGATGAATGTTGTACATATACACAATGGAATATTACTCAGCCATTAAAAAGAATGCATTTGAATCAGTTTTAATGAGGTGGATGAAACTGGAGCCTATTATACAGAGTGAAGTAAGTCAGAAAGAAAAACACCAATACAGTATACTAACTCATATATATGGAATTTAGAAAGATGGTAACGATGACCCTATATGCGAGACAGCAAAAGAGATACAGATGTAAAGAACAGTATTTTGGACTCTGTGGAAGGAGAGGGTGGGATGATTTGAGAGGGTAGCATTGAAACGTGTATATTATCACATGTGAAGTGGATCGCTGGTCCAGGTGTGATGCATGAGACAGGGTGCTCAGGGCTGGTGCACTGGGAGGACCCTGGGGGATGGGATGGGGAGGGAGGTGGGAGGGGGATCCTGGATGGGAAACACATGTGTGCCCGTGACTGATTCATGTTGATGTACGGCAAAAACCACTACAATATTGTAAAGTAATTAGCCTCCAATTAAAATTATTTTTTTAAAGGAAAAAAAATTAAAAAAAATAGAAGTTCCTTCCGTCTGAAGGAGATATTCAATATGTGCAAGTTGGATTTTTAAACAGGTTTCCCTCAAGTTAAATAGACAAGGCAGGCCTGGTTATGGAGGGCCCAGGGGGCTTGTGGCTTATCTTACTGGGACATAAGAATTGCTGACACCCTGGACACTGCCTTGATATTTCAGCCTACAGAGGTGAGGAAAATTTAGCTCACCTGGGTCCAAGTTCACTACAACTCACCACCACCAGTCCAGCAGCCTGTATCCATCACTGCACTCACATAAGGACTGTGAAGCAAAGCTAATAAACTCATCTGGGATTTTTGGATAAATACTCTCTTAATACAGTCTAGGGTTTTTCTACAGTCTCAAATAGTAATCTCGTGACCTACAAATCAGTCATCGCTGCCTGAGCAAACAAAAAAGTATTTCAAGTAAACACAGGTAAAGAACCTGGCCTGAACTGAACACTTCCCCCCTCCCACCCCCACCGCCCACCAGATTCCACAAAACCCACCTCTTTAAAATAATACCTCAAAAAATATATCTTTTGATGTTAAAAAGTCCTCAAGAGGATATTCACTCATAAAGTTCAATTTGAGCCCCATCCACCAGGTGTATGGTTTGACTGAATGCAATTCTCTTAAACTGTTCACTCTTAGCTCAGTGCCACTTTATTCAAAATTGTTTCTTTCAATTTTTAGACAAATTTCCAGTTTGTACACCTTGCTCCTACCCTCCACCATAATGTCACTATTTTAGCAATGATTTCAGGCTGACACATCATAACATACCAAACATTAAGTGGTAGGGCTAGAACTTCCCTGGTGGCCCAGTGGCTAAGGCTCCCCACTCCCAATGCTGGGACCTGGGTTCAATCCCTGGTTAGGAAACTATATCACACATACCCCCAACTAAGATCTGGTGCAACCAAATAAATTTTTAAAAAGATGTAGGGCTGTCGCTTTCTACACTGCTTTACTGAAGACTAAAAACAATGGCAGGAGTCCCCTGCACTTGGACTTTTAAGCTGTCTCCCCATATCAGTCTCAGCATAACTAAAAGACACTTACTCATATAGTGTATGTGAATTATCCCCTAACTCCAGTCCCTTAATATTTATAAATTCACTCATTTAGCTAAAAACTTTTCGATATTTTAAGAGTTGAACCCTCTCATAACCTAGATCCTTAATGTATTAAAGTGCACTTCCCAGATCAGACCCAGCCCCAACATGACTCCACAAAGTGCTCAATAAAGGATACCAGGAATAAAAGGATAAATAAATAATAAAAGGAGAACAGTTCAATAAAGGAAATTGAACTTTATTATGTTTAATTTTTCACAGGAAATAGGAACAGTGATTTCCTTTTCTTGCTCTTTTTAGGAAATCACATTACTTCTGATAATTGGCAATTTCCATAAACTGGTGTTTACTTATCCCATTTCCACTTGCCAAAGCCCCAAAGTTCAAAACTCATTTGTTAAACATAGAAAAGGCATCAAAAAAAGAAAAAACAAACTTGAGAATGTCTAGGACTGAAGTGTCCAAAGACTTGAAGCAGGTTTTATAATGGCTGCCCTCACAAATTGTCGTCTTCTTCAGGCTTACTTTCCTGCACTTTGGTTTTGCTCTCATCGATTGGAATTGCAAGCTCCTTCCTAAGGGGAGAAAATGGAAAATATTCAGTATTTGGAGTTGGGGACCAAATGAGATATACGAAGTACATTTTATGCTTGTTTTAACATTCATATTCTCCCAAATGCCCAGGGAACATAGTTTTGTAATATCCAGTTCCAGGTTCTCTTTAGGGAGAATCTTCCTTTGTGCGCAAAATTTATGGGAGAGCTGAAAAATTCAGTATTCAATATTAAGCGTTTTTAATGCACTATTTAAGAATAAAGATTAAATGCAGAGACTTCCCTGGTGGTTCAGTGGCTGACTTCTCGCTCCCCAGGCAGGGGGCGCGGTTCAATCCCTGGTCAGGGAGCTAGATCCCACAGGCCGAAACTAAAGATGGTGCGTGCCGCCACCAAGACCAGGTGCAACCAAATAAATATTTAAAGACTAAACGCGCAAAAAAAATTTCACGACCACCGAATTATCTAAAAATTTAAATAAAAGCAAAATTCAATCCTATACTTGCACAACGGGGTCTCTACTCGCCTCCCACTGACCTAAACCCCGATCCAATAAAACGTCATTCACCGAAACCTACGTTTCCGGAGTTAATTCACTCACTCACCGCACCGCCCCAACCCGGGAGCCCAAGGGCGGGCAACCTTCAAGGGCCTCGAGCCCCCCACCGAGTTTGGGCTCTGGGGGAAGGGACAGCGCCAAAGGCGTCGGGAGAAGAGCCCTAACGTCCCAGAAAATTTTGGGCGCCTCCAGAGCAAGCCACTTACCGAGCGAACACATTGGGGTACTGGCTGCGCTGGAAAACGCTCTTCAGCTCCGTCAGTTGCAGCCGCCTGAACGAGCAGCGGTGGAGACGAGGCTCCCTGACCGAGGGCTGTGGATCCTCGGCGTCCGCCTGCATCGGCTCCTGTGGGAACTCCTCCTCGTCACCGTCGCCGCCCTTCTGGATCTCGTCGACCATGGGGTCGGGAGCTCCCGCCCCAGCCTGGCCCTGTTCTTCTGCTGCTGCTGCTGCCGCCGCCGCTCCCGGCTCAGGTTCTGATCCCGACTCCTCCTCGACGGAGGCACTTGTTGCGGTGCCTGAGACCTCGGGGGGCTTCGTACCTGGAAAAGAAAAAAAGAAGTCTGAGCGTCGGAGCGCCAAGGGTGCGGGGCGGCGGGAAGCGCAGGCCCGCGACCTGAGAGGCGACGGCGACCGCACCACAGCCGCGTCCCATCCACTCGCCTCTCCCAGGGAAAGGGCCTTTCCCTCGAGTTCGCCAGAGTACCTATCCCGCTCTAGGCACTGACCAGGTTCTTCCTGGAGCTCGTCGACTCCCAGACTGAGGTAACCGGAGTCTTCGTGTTGGCGTCCGGGCTCACGGTCCATGTCGCTAGCGCTGTCCAAGCTGCTGTGCGCCTCGGTCGACTCTGCGCTATTGATGGCGGCGATCCCAACGTCCGGTCCGCGGCGTTGGGAGTTTATAGCCGGTCTGCGGCCGTTCACGCTGACGCCCACGCGCTAGCTATTCGGCGTCGGCTACGCGAACTCCTCAGTAACGGCGCGTGCGGTGGGCGTAGCCGTTGGGCAGTGCACGTGGACTGGGCGTGGCCCTAGAGTAGAGAGATGCGCGTGGGGAAGAGTCCTGGCAGGGGGCGAGCGGGTGGGGGCGCGCGAGCTCCCACTTGTGGCTGAGCTGAATACTCCCAGCTGCTGCCTTGGGTCGGTCCTGAACTAGAGGCTTCTCCCGATTGTGCGAGCTGACTTGGGACGGGGTAGGGGGGAGGGAATGAGACCTCAATGAGGCGTCCCGGGAGCCTGGGGGAAATGTTGGGAGACCATCTCTCCGCCTGGCCCTCGATGGGCTCAGGCTTGTTGCCATTAGTTCCCCCCTGAACCCCCTGACCCCCAGAGCGGGAGACGCAGAGGTGGGACTGGAGAAACCGTGGGGCCCCAGCAACCCCAGCCGGCTGAGACGACAGTCGTCCCCTCTTGTCGCGTGGGCTCTGAGCGCGACTTCCCTCTGGGAAGTCGGTAATTAATGGATGGGACTGTGATTCTGTTCCATTCGCTCTCAAAGTCCATGAAACGGGCTAGTGATTCAGACGGAAAGACTAGGTGGAAGGTGGGAGACTACTTGCTGGGGTTTTGCAATAAGGCGCTAAAAGCAGAGCCCGTCTCCTCTCGTTCCCTGGGGGGTACTGGGGCGCGGGAACGTGGGGCTGTATTTGCAGAGCACACTGTACTCAGATGCCTACTGCAAGAAATCCAGCTTGTTCCTTACAAATGCAACAAGTAATCCAAATTTGTACTAACCTATGTCAGAGGGCAAGTATAGAACACTGCATGTGACCCTTGCTTTGGCCCTTGATGCGGTTGTGTAGGATAGAGCATCTGCTTTGCTATGCTCCGCTAGCGCATCTGGGGCTGCTGGCCCTCTGCAAAAGTGCACGGGTTTCTTATGCTGGGGGCTGTGTGGACTGGGTTGTTGTTGTTTGGTCGCTCAGTCGTGTTTGACTCTTTGCGACCCCATGGACTGTAGCCCGCCAGGCTCCTCTGTCCTTGGCTACAGTGTTAATGCCCTCACAATGCGTTCTCCACAAAAAGAAAAAAATCTGTTTCACTGAATATTAAGTTTAGTTTTGTTAATTAAGGTCTGTGCTTACTAAAACTCACTTCTAAGATAGTTCCTTGTTATGTTATATTGCTTAAAAGGCTAATTGAGTTATTAAAAAGGATACTCTAAGATTGTTTCTAAAGCTTATCTCATTAACCAATCTTTGGATAAACGTCAGATGCTCCCTTAGGTACAACCAGGAGATTAACACTTGGCTGTAATCATTTAACTGAGTCAGATGACCTGGGGTGTACCAGGCTATACCCAATGAAAGTTCTTGACTTAAATTCTTGCTTGTGACCTTACTAATAACTGCTAGCTATATTATTTTCTATGTAGCTTGCTTCAGAAGATTATTTCTTACATTACCAAATGTGTGACTGAGCCTGTGATAAAATGCTGATATGCAGCTCCATATGAAGTCAATAGTTGTAGCTCTAGATATGGGAAGAAACAACAAGAGAAAATATTTTCCTGGACCAAAAGGGAAGTAAAACAGGTATGGTCCAGAGACTTTTGCTACTTACAAGGTTTGGTCTAGTGACAGTACATTGAGTATCCTGTCAATGGAATCTTTGTTAGACCTTGGAATGAGCCTTCCCAGCCCGTGGGACACAATGACCATGAAATGCCCCCAAAACACAGTCAAATATGTGGCTGTGAAGGGGCCCTGCTGACTGGAAGTTGGCCCTTGCCAGCTACCTCTACAAAGATTAAATCATGACCACTACAAGATGCTGATCTTCCACACCCCCTAGAAAGGAGTTCAGGGTGGAGATAAATAAGGCACTCTGTGCCCTGGGAAAAATCCAGAAAACAGGCCTTCAGATTGTCAGGTGTTATCAGGTGAAGATTTTTATGAGTCCAAATTCTTGCATCTTCTCATTCTAGAGAATCAGTAATGTCACTAACCAACGTCTGGACCTGGTTCTCCTGGCTAACCCCACAACAGCTTTTCTAGGTCTGTTAATCTTTGGGCCATATATCTTTAATTTTCTTGTTAAGTTTGTTTCTCCAAGTAGTAGTATGACAAGAATATCCCCCAGCCAACACCCAGACAGTGCTGGAACAAGCTGCCTTATCATTCTGTGGACTCTCACCTCCCTCCGTAAATACACCCCAAGGTCCTCAGGCTATTCTCCCTTTGAGGAGACCACCCCCAGTGATTAAAAAAAAAGCACAAGGGAGACCACCAACAACTAGCTGACCTGGAGATGTCCCAACACCTCCAGGCCCTGGGAAAAGTCTTCTGCCATATCGCCCAATAAACCTTAGAAAGGACACTCATTCCTTTAGGCAATTGAGTTCATCCCTATCAGCTAGGAAATGAGGTATGGGTTAAAGATTAGGAAAAAAAAAACTTCAGCCAGTTTGCACTGACCCTCACACGGTCGTCCTGGCAACCCCTACTGCTGTTAAAGTTATAGGTGTCATCACTTGGATCCACCACACCAGAGTCAAGACGGCAGCTACTTCCCGTGATGAGGACATTTAGAAAGCAGTTTGGGGCCCCCATAACCTCCTCAAGGTCCAGTTCCAAAGACAACGGCCCTCACCCACAAAGGACGCTGAGCCCTGCTGTAGTCAGTCTGGAAGCTGACTAGTCAATGCACGGCAGAAACTTGAGGATTCTTCAGCCTTGCTCCAGCCACACTCCAGCAGCTGACTAGTCAACGCACAGTGGAAGCTGGAGGATCTGGCTATCGAAATATAGCCAGATGGATTTTCATTATCAACCCTGGCCTCTGTCCCGAATCAGTATTATTGCTGTGCTCTTCATTACAGGACCAACTAGACTCCCTGACTGAGGTGGTTTTACAGAATAGGAGATGGCTAGACCTACTGACAGCTGAAAACGGAGGACTCTGCCTCTTCTTGAACGAAGAATGCTGATTTTATGAAAACCAATCAGGAATAGGCAGGGACATGGCCCAACAGCTAAGGAAAGGAATCATAAAAAGGAGAGAGGAACTAGCAAGTTCCTGGGGTAATGGGAACACTATCTGGAGCTGGGCATCATGGCTTCTCACTTTAACTGATCCTCTATTCATGTTCTTTGTGATGCTCCTGTTTGGCTCTTGTATTCTCAATGCTATTACCCAGTTCATAACCTCTTGAATCCATAAAGTTACAAATTGTAATAGCTCAATATAATGCCCTAAACAAGGGAGAGCTCTGAAGGTCCTACAAAAACATGAGATGATGCTTTCTACAATGAGTGATAAAAGCATCAAGAGGCGAATGAAGAGGAAAAGTTAAAAATTACATAACCTCCTGCTCCTTCTGCCTCTGTAACTTAGCTTGCTCCTTGCAAAGTCTGGATCATGTAGGTCTCAGAAAGTGGGGACTTACAATACTAGGAACTAGAAGTTATCTCACTCACCTTTGTCCTGCTCTTTGAAATCACCCAGCCCCTGCAAACCCACAAACCTGCTTAATCATGCCTGTCTGTGTATAAAAACTTTGTAATCCCTTTGTTTTGGGCTCAGAGCTTGGAGTGTTAACTCCTCTGGCCCCGCTGGTGTAATAAACCTGAGTTCTTCAGCTCTCCGAGTGTGGTGCTTGGTTTCTGAAGTACCAGTTTCTGCAACACCGCCACTCTCACTTCCACTCCACTGAACATTAGTTTGGGGTTTGGGTCATATTTTGATCCAGTCAGATCTAATAATACAATGGATCATGGGAAGCAAAGCGTTCAGGAATAAAAAGGTTAACACTAAAAATGAGGTAAATAATTCCTTTGTATTTTTCATCTTGTAAAAGATGGTTTTGGCTTGTGTGTGATGTGATAACATTTTGTCCCTGTGGAAAAATATTTTCACATTTTAATGTCCAGATTTCAAGATATGTACATTCACTGTTGCTGTTTAGTTGCTAAGTCATGTCTTAACTCTCTGCAACCCCATGGACTGTAGCCCACCAGGCTCCTCTGTCCTTGGAATTCTCCAGGCAAGAACACTGGGGTGGGTAGCCATTCGCTTCTCCAGGGGATCTTCCTGATCCAGGGATTGAACCCATGTCTCCCCCACTGGCAGTTGGATTCTTTACCACTGAGCCAGTGTTTGGACTCAAGTTTTTATACTGAAAAAACATTCAGATAATACAAGAGAGACTTTAAATGAGCACCAAAAACATGACTCCAGGGACTTCCCTGGTGGTCTAGCAGTTAAAACTCCACACTTTCAATACAGGGGATATGGGTTCGATCCCTGATTGGGGAACTAAGCTCCCACATGCCACATAGTGTGGCCGAAAAATTTAAAAAACAAACAAAAAACATGACTCTGTTCATGGGTACCTTTTTGGCAGAGCCTTAGATCTTCATGATGGAGAAATATGTCCAACTTAGGCCTTCATGGTGGTGGAATGTTAGGGGAGTTATGACTCAAGCCAGAGCACTGATGAAGCCACATGTTCAAGGGAAAGACCATCTTTTCTCTCTAGTAACAAATCTACTGAAAAACACAAAGGGAAACAGTATCCAAATCTCCATTAAGGAACACATCAGATGGTGGTTTGGAGTCCTACTTACTTGGGAGGATCCTGGAGCAATTTCTCCATCCTCCCAACTTCAGAGAGTGCTGGTTCTTTTTAAATGATTGTCAGATGTCAGATTCTCCCTTGGCTTATTTGGAAACCAGGACTTTATCCGTTTCCTGAAAGCATTAAGCATGTATTTTCCCAAGGATGTATCCAAACTCACTCACCTGTCATGAACCTCTGATGGAGACAGCAAAGAAAAAATAATTTCTTATCCTGCCATTTGATGTGA